ATATTGATTTATAAGGTCAATCTTTCATCGCAAACGACACTAACAGCTCCAAAATCCAGCAATTTTCCTTAACCCAGAAGCTCCAATTCTGACCTCAGATAATCAGCCTGATGTCTTGATACAATGAACCAATTCTGACCTAGTATTTAACCTCGATTTTCATTAATGCAGGGTACCACGATAAACGTGACCATGCATCTCATCGAATCCATTTGACTACTAATACACTCAACGCTTAAACTATGGTACATACAGTTTAAAAAGAGGAAATATTCATTGGACATAAATCACCTACACCTTGTGTAATAGAACACCAATAGAAATATCAATAACAGAAATAAACACTCACTTTGTACAGGCTGAGCCGAAAGGGTGTGAATAATGGTTATACTTTTGGGCAGTTTTTTAGCGAGAAATTCCACAATGGCCTGTCTCCCAACCACTTGATTTCCATTCCAAATTAGATTGGAAGTCTCCACGAAGAAGGTTGAAATATCTGGCCTTCCCTGCTTATCAAAAGCTCGATAGTAAACAGTGGAAATCTTCTCTGCTGCTTGGTGGGCAATCTGCCAAGTCGCCTTCTCAGTTGGATCAGCCAAATCAACAGGTTGAATCGTTTCTGATGTCGCCATTGTTGTCTACAGAAGAACAGAGAGTAAAAGATTAAAACCTCAAAGAAAAATTAGCTCACAGGAATTAAAAAAAGACGTTTACGAGGAGAAAAGAACCTTTATTTGAAAAGAAACACACACACCAAAATAAAGTATAAATATTGACATAATGTATTGATATAATTGTCTTAATATCAAGCTCCGATTAATAACTTAAACCAGGACGATGATAAGACGAGGTTGAGTGTTGTGTATAGCTTCGACCACGAATCCAAAGTCTATGAAGACTACTTTTTTCGTCAAAGAGACTACGAATGAGTAGAGTCTGGAAAATACCAACTAAGATTAGGATACAAGCTTGGAAGGTGGACCAAGAAGTAACCCGATTTTTGTTTGCAAGCATTATTGCACGATCTGCAGATAAGTAATTTCTTGAACGCTGCTGCAAACGCTGACTTCTTTGCAGCAAACCACCAATACGATCCAAAGAATTCTAAAAAAGAAACACGCAAAATAGTAAAAACATTATATTTTTTACTTAATTGTGCCAAAACTGAATAAACGGCAATAAGTTCTCAAAAGACAAAAACTTACCACAACTTTTTCAAGGCTGTTAAACATTTCAGTGAAATCCGCAGAATTAGTAGCCACATTAAAACCGGTCTTCATTCTTTCAATAATTTCTTTTTCTACAGGATTAGGATTGTGCCAGTCAATATGGAGCTCGATGCCCAGGTAGACTTTTTTGCGTCCGTAGCTTGCCTTGCGATTGTCCAAACATATAGCATAAGCTTGTTCACGATAGTCAGGTTGAACAGCGATTCTAGAGGGAAAAAATGAATTATAAAACAGTAATTTTGCATTACGTGACAGATGCGTCTGAGGATGGATCGCGCTTGACAATTGACGACCCAGAAGGATCAATAACTGATAATCCGATATCCATTCCACCATCGCTTCCAATAACCTGCACATCAACTACGAAGGAGGTGGGGGCCTCGTAGAAGTAGCAATCTTTAATCCCCGGAGTGACATTGACAGTAAGAGTAAGAAAAGGGCGAATGGGAGCCGAAGATTGCATTGCCTCTGGGTCAGAGACAAGTGGAGAAGCCAAACGAGAGTAGAAATCCAATTCATCATCGTTATTTATGACTGAAGGTGGTTCATACTTCTTTTGACGGCGTTTGGGGGGCAGAGAGTTGTGGACCTGATTGTCGTAAGTTTTCTTTATTCCCTCATTATGCATATGAGGAGGCGGAGGGGTAATAGGCTGAAGCCGAGGTGTTTGTTGTTGAACAGGAGGAGCCTGCTGTGGAACTGGGGGAGCCTGTTGTGGGACAGGGGGTGTTTGCTGTCCTCCTGATTGTATCGGAACAATAGGTGGTTGTTGTTGCTGTTGGAAATTGGGCGGAGAATTAAACTGCCCCTGTTGCTGTTGAACCGGTTGTGCATTAAAATCCTGTGGCTGCTGCTGAACAGGTGGTACATTGTTGAATTGATTTTGTGGAACTTGCTGCATAGGAGGAACTCCATTAGGTTGTTGCATTGGTTGCTGGGGAGGGGCATTAAATTGTTGATTATGAATCTGCTGGTTTGGCACTTGATTGAAATTTTGAAAGGGAGCTTGTTGAGGAGCATGTTGATTATTAAATTCGTTATTCTGGAAAGCACCTGCGGTTGCATCTTGACCAGGAGAATGTTGTTGTTGGACTGGAGGTACTCCCTGGTCCATTTGCGCGAATATACATGATAAAAAGACCAGGAAAACGAATGTGGAAGAAAACTTCATCTTCACTATCACGAAGGAGCAAATGCTACACCGTCTACTTTAAAGTTTCCTCTTGCAATTGAAAAAGTAAAACAAATTTTTCTATATATTCTTGTTCTATTCTGTTCAAAGATTTTTGCCCCAAAATGTTAAAATTTAATTATTTAAATATTGATTAATTTTGAAGTATTATTTGAATTTATATTTTTATGGACACTGAAGATTGAATATAACTTCGAATTAGGATGATATTCATATTTTACATTGTAATTCCTGAATTTTCGTCTATGGTTTGTAATAAAATCGACGGAATTATTAGCATCGGTATATTAACGAAATGCCTTTTTGTTTGACTCTTAGGTTTTCCCAGTTAAACTTAGGTTTAATAATAAGAATAATTCTTTGTTCGCATGCCTTCTTAATAAATCAAGATATTACCACAAACTCGATGGATTCAATGACTGTGGTAACTCATTAATTTCCTTTATTTATTTATTTTTTTATAGCAATGAAATAATAATTCAAATCATATTAATGCAGTTCGTACCTAAGTAACTCGTCTATTACAACAGATTTGGACATACTAGAAATAATAAAGAAAATTGCATAGAAGTAGCGCAGTTAACAACGCCAAGCTTTAAATGACCTTATTTACATTTATATCCAGAGTGCTTAGTATTTACTAAACAAGTAATTCATATCTCAAATTCAAATTTCATGATTCGTCCGCTGGAGTGCTGTGGATGCTTGTCTAGGGTGTTCAGGGCTTAGTGAAAAGGGTTCTGGCTTCATTATTCGGTCATGTCGCTGGGTGTTATTCTTCTTTCAGTTATTTGGGGAAAACAAGGCGATTCTAAAGAACATTCATCAGAGATACGTGAAAAGTTTTAAGTTAACAGAGCTTAGTAACTACGTCCACTCGCGGCCAAGTTGAGGATTAGAAATTATAAACAAGATTTCACCATTAAGATTTACTTTAGTAAAATCAATCGATTGGGTGTTTCATGGAGTCATATCACAACCTCCTAACTAACATATTCTCATACACAATCATAATAAAATGCACATCCATGACATTATTCTAATGGCCATCCTTCCAGTTAAGAAGAAAACATTACGGAAAAATTTTATAAATTACATATTTTCAAAAGTTTTCGAACTTATATTAAATAATGGAATTCATAAATCGTATTGCGCTTGATTTATTATTCGCTTAATTAATAAAATAAATTCAGTCTATCAATGGTATTTACAATGTAATTGCTAATATTCAAGGTTTGCCACCTAGGAGTATGTAGAGGATGCTACTCTAGTAAGTCTTGACTATGCTCAGTAATCTCTGTGGCAGTTTCTCCCAGAATTAGCTAGGCTGCCCAAAGCTATAGAGGCAACAGACATATGATGTGGAGCACTTTTTTTGGCACGGCGTGCTACAGCGCGGTCATGCAATGACTTGGAATTTAATCCTTTTATACACTTTTTGGCATGATAAACACACAATGACTTGGCCATTGATTAGTCGTCATGGCTTTGGTTGTTGATTAGTCGAGAGACATCTGCTTTCGTCATGCTAAATCTGTGTTTCGCACAATACTTCCCCTCTAGAGCGTTTATTGGGAGCTAGAAGGGTAAAAAAGCTCTTCATAATTTGTCTATATTAGTTGGTGGCGGTTTGGCTGCTTTATCTCTGGATTGATATTTTCATTCACACACAATGCCTTCTTCCGGCATCAGCTCCTTGCTGAACTTTGACTTTTAATGACTGCAGGAAGTTTGTAAGTGTTAGGTTTCCTCTCGAGCATTGTTTTGGTTAGCTAAACAGTTGGTTTTTATGTCGAATGGTTTGCAGTTTAGTGGACGGCAATGAAGTTCGTGAACACGTCCATAAGTTGTTGGCTAAAATCTCTGTAAAACGAGAGTTTGTATAAGAGTGCAATGCTTGGATACCAATGACGGATTGTCATATATCAAGAAAAGTTGTCTTCTTCCCAGTCTCCACAATAGAAGATGGTTTTTTAGGGTGTCTGTTTTGGATGACTGGTTTGGATAGATTTTGTGCGTAAGTTTTATTGTTTTTCTCTTGCGCTTTTAAGTCTCTTGGTTGAGATAGGAGAATGCTCTGGTAGGAAGAAAGAAATATCTCCATGTATAGAGCTGGAATCACCAGCGAGATCTGGAAGCTCATTGAAGGGCTATCGTGTATCAGTATCGAATTCCTTCACCGGATTCACCATTGGTGAGAATTTTTGGCAATTAGGCTCAATATATTCCTCCATATCCAAATCATGACGTTCGATGGGACTAACTGAAGAGAAAGAGAGCTATGGAAGCTTGAAAAATGGTTATTTTTTGCATGTATGGTCAGATCGCTGGGTTGAAGAAGGCATTATTTTGCAGAACGAGGTATTAAGCTGACTTCAGGATAGGAGGAATTTAATTTCGAGAATATTCTGTCAATCTTGAGGCATTTGGCATTGCCTCGTATGTTCTGTGAGAGTAACAGAATTAGTTGCGGTGATCTAAGAGCCTAGGGGATCTCTTTCAAGGCATTGGGCGTCGTTTGTCGCGATAGGAAGAGATAGCTGGTACGAGCGGTTCTAATTTCTCAAGCCGTTCAGTGATGGCATCAGGTTGCTAAGTGGTAGTGACAATGAAGTTAAAGTTTAAACTGCATTATTGCCTGGCCTAACTTCAACTGGTTTGTCAAGATTGTCCTGATAAATGCTGTTGGCTAAAGTTGACGCCACTTTTACCGGGCGGCATTTCATCCATAGTTCTAAAAAAATTTTTTACTCACTTCGAGCCCGATAGCCAAGAAATGTTTTTCATGAGAAACAGGTAAAAGACAGATAACAGCTTTTGTGGGTTTGTCATAGCAGATGTCTTCTAGTGATGTCTAAGACTAACGGCGTGTCGTTGAATGATAGAACAGTCATAGCGTACGCAAACGGCATTCTCTGTTTGGTAACGCAACAGAGTTTGAGGCTAACTTACAGTTGTAGGAAACGGATACGAGGGTATCCCTGGTCGCAGGTGGGATAACCAAGTGAAATATCCAATACGTTCACGCCGAGATCTGTTTCTGAAGACATTCTGAGATGACTAGGAGCAGTCAAAAGGAGAGAGGCAAGGAAATGGTGGTTGTTAGAAGAGAAAGAGGATCAACAATTGAGTTGACCGAAATAAAGGGAACTCGCAGTGCTGGGGGGAGATTGTGTCTCGACTGAGGAAATGAAGTCGGACTTAGCAGATCATGTCTGAATCACTTATTTGTAGCAAATTGCAACACTATACTCAGTAATCTCTATGGCAGATTTTCCTATGTTTGGATAGAATCAAAGAATTAGCTAAGCTACCGCAAAGCTACAGAGGAAACGGACGTATGACATGGAGAACTTTTATTGGGTATGGCGTGCTACAGCACGATCATCGACATCTTCATGGCATTACTAACTTTTTTAACTATTTGAAGGATTAGTATTATTGACACTTATTAAGTGATAACAAAGAAAAATAAGTTAATCGTTTTTTCGAGTTTGTGGAGATCAAAACTTTATCTAGTTGGCCATCTCTTTCATTTGAACATTTCGATAAGGATTGATCCTGAGAACAGTACATTCTGAATAATGAATAATTTGTCAGCATTAAGCGATCATATAAAATTATAGCTTTAGGTAAATATTATACACACATGTGTATACCGATTGTTAAATAATATTGCATTTTTACTTTTACAAATGTGTTTATTTGTGTTTTTACTAATTCACTGTAATACGTCCTTCGAATGAGTACTACTTTAAATAGAAACATCAGTTCGGAAATTAAAAAGATTCTATTGATGGTCTTTGGAACGTGTTTTCACTTATTTGCAGGCTGGAGTTCTGTAAAAACTAACATACAACTTTACTGAACAATCTCTTAAAATCATTTGGCTACAAATTTGAGTGTATCGGAGTTTGGTTTAAAGTAAAATTTCCCATAGATTCAGAAAAGGTGGCGTTCATTAAAGGCCCTGTTGGTTTTTAGAAATTTGAATTGGCTACTGTTAATGGAACAAATTGCAATTCTTTCGCAACTTAAATTAAAAGTTAAGTGTTTATCGGCTTTCATTTTGGAATAAATTAAGCCGCTTGTTTTGAGTTATTCCATATCAGGATTTTGACGAAGGCAATGAAATTGGGTTAAAAATGAAATTATTTGAACAGAGCTCTTCAGTTTGCAAAAAACTTTAAATAATGGTTTTCTCATCAGAGTTAGTGGAGCGGAAATTAACTTTTTAATTTATATATTTTTTAAAGTATACAAGATCTTTAGCAGCTCTGTCATTATTTTGATGAAGCGTGTAGTGTTGGAACACGTAGAGGTGGCGAAGGCAGGCAACACAAACTCATATATATTCATTCAGTCTTCTAAATCTCGGATGTTTTCAATTAAAATGTATTTTAACATTTTTTAGTCGTAACTAGGGTATGCGCATATAAACAGTCGTACAGTTAAATAGATAGGGAATAAATTTCGTCATCAATATTACTAATTTCCATTCGAAAGTTTAGATATGCTAGCACCTCAAAATAAATATGACTTTACTTAAAAAATATTAGCACGCAGCCATTATAATCCTTTTTAATGAATTGCTTAGGGGTTCAAATAATTGCTTTTTATAACCTACCAAACTTTATTTTCTTTCCCATTTTATTACACATAATTTGTGTCTGATAAAATTAGTCACTACTACAAATAATATAATCTTTATAGTTTGGGGTGTGCGATAGACTTACCTCCACGTGGTGCAATCTGGGCAACGTATACTCATACGGCAAAAAAGTCTATTTATCGGCAGGTGACTTCTGACTTCAAACTACCATGACCCCACTGTATGTCATATTCGACCCCTTCCACCATACTTATCCTACCTTTTCTCTGCCTTTGTGTCTGTCTGTCTTTTTAACATCTTTAAACACTCT